TGCGGCCAGCCGCCGCTCGTTCCCGGGACCCCCCCGCCGGTGATTTTTGTACGGATCCCCGCTGCCACAGACCCTACAAGCAGTGGGGATCCATGGAGTCCCTCATCCCTCCCTGGGATGGCTCCAGGGAGGGATGAGAGACTCCAGATGCCGGCGGCCAGCAGGGGCGCCCGGTATTTTTGATAATAGCAGTCATCAGCGGCTTGGCAGCTATTAATTTAAAGGGGACAGTCTGCTGAACAGTTCTACTATAAGCTGATGGTCGCGACCATCAGCTTAAAGTAGAACTGTAAATGCCAGGTCCATATGGCATACTGAGCTGGCCAGCTGGAAGCACTTTTGTAGGTCCGTATGCCATACGTCCTTGGCAGCGAAAGGGTTAAACACTGGCTGTCTAGAAGCATTGTATGTTAATGAGCGGAAGCTCAGAGTGTCCCTAGTCTTTTTATGGGGACAGACAGAATTTCCTTGCAGTTTGTCCCAATATATGACCAACAGAAGCATCTAAAAGTTAAGAAATATTTGTTTTAAATTATTTTTCAGTATGCTCTGTGAATAGGAACACATAACAAACATACAGTGGGGTTTCCTCAAATTTGACTGCAAAAGTGGAAATACACTTTAAGTTGGTAGTCAGTGGGAAGAAGAATTACTCCTTACATTGGTGGTCACTAGGCTGAAGAATGCCCCTCACATTTGTGGCCAGTGAAAAGAAGAATTCCTCCTATCTCTTGGTGACTGGTGGAAACAAAAATGCATTTTTACCTCTACAGACTACAATGGACAGTCTTTTACCCACTGACCGCCAATGTAATGGGAAAATTCTTCTATCTGCTGACCACTAATGTAAGGGGCCATTATTTCTCCTACTGACCACCAGCTTAAAAGGGAATTTTTATATGTAATAACCACAAACGTAAGGAGCATTCTTCCCTCTACTGACCACCAACATAAGGTGGCATTCTTCCTTCTACTGGCCACCAACGTGAAGGGGCATCTTTATTTTTCTTTCTGTTTGGCGAAGGTGCCCCTTACAAATTTTGCAGTGGGGCCATGTGATTTCTAGTTACACCCCTGTTTTCTGCTAAAATAGAAACTAGCTTGCATAGTTCAATTTTTAACCAACAGGTCATAGTCTAGTAAACTGTTTTACATTAAAGGGATTTACTTGCTAAGATCACTTCTTTCAAATAAAATTTTGATGAAAGCACTGCAGTAATTGCTCATTATTCACATCCTTTCTCTGCTTCGAGTTATCCTGTAGCATGTTCTAATATTCTTATTTTAATCTCAAACCCCTGGACTACATTTGCCAAAGATCCCAGACATTAAATACAATAAGAAAAAAAATGTATTAATGATTCCTGTGTGACTTACAAGACAGACATGGGAGTATTCTGAAGCAGATCGGCTAAAGTGAATTTTGTGTCCGATTAAGCTAAGCTGAGCGCCAAGATAAAAACTCAAAAAGGATTATATTCTAAGCAAATAAACTCTTGTCATTGCTGTGTACAATAATCCAAACATGCGTGCTGTGTTGTGTTTCTGGGCTGCTAGGTTACAGGTTCCTGTCTGTCAGGAGGGCTCTCTGTTCCTTTCCCACTTCTTATTTTCAAGGATTCAAGTGGGGTCAGCTTGTGCTGACCCATAATAGTTTCTTCAACCCCAATGATCTCCTCTGGATCACCAGTTACCAAGAGAATAAATACTTTCCTATTGCTGTCTGAGAAATAACATGTTTTGTTATGCTCATGTAGATGGATCATTGTTTTTCATTTCATCGCAATGTCCATGTCTCAGACACAATGTCCATGTCTCAGATATTTGGAAGGGCCACGTACAATTCTCCTCTTGACGATTTGGAGTGCACCTGATGTTTCGTAGAACAAATTACTTAAAGAAGAACTATGAGATGAGTGAAAAGCACTCACCTCATAGTTCTCCTTTAACTGTAGCTTATTTGTGCATCACTTATGTGTCTTATAAAGTTGCCGCCATTCCAAGTGTGATGGACTATCATCTCAATACAAATTAGTAAAGGAAATGTGAGATCGTAGTCCATCATGGGAGTGAGCTTGGAGCGCAGGCTACTTTACTTTACAGGGACCATGGAGAACAAAAGTAGCCACCCACAAGAAGGAAGGACAGTGTCAGCACCAATTCAGAGATGATTTGAGTATCTACAGCTGAGTGATACACAAATAAGAGACATTTTTGTTAAAAGTGAAGATACTTAGATGTATTTTTAAGATTTAACTCCTGAGTTTAGTGTCATGTTTATGTACCACCTGTACATACAGAATGCATGTAATTTGTAGCCAATTCAGGAGGATCCATGATGTCACGGTTGTATGATGGACAATATGATTTAATAGTCTATATAGTTATTCTCATCTTAACTCTGTTATTATGCATTGGCTGGTAGTAAAGAGGTTAAAGGGTGGTGTTTAAGGCAACTTAGTATACAAATTCAGTTGCACTTGAAGCTGGTCACATCTATGTGCACATATAAAACAACTTTAAAAAGAATATAGACTTTGTAGAACCATTCCACTACTGGCCTCAGTCATCTGTATTTATGCCACATTAATGATAATCTTTTTGCACGAATTGCTTTGATGTTTTTTGTAAGCTAGTTTATTTTTCTTCTTCTGTTGTCACACTGACAACTAAACAGTTGTAGAAAGTGACATGCTTACACATCAGATACTGTGTGCCTCTCCACCATCGTACATCACCCACTAGACTAAACTGTAGCCATGGAAAATAATATAGCATGCATTTAGTGTATACAGCTATGTGTCAAGTTTTTGGAGCCACCATGATATGTTTGCTGTTCTCTTCTCCCAGATGTATCATCTTAAACATGTTTTTGTCAACTCATTTTATACAGTATAACAAAGCCACTCGAGGACAGTACGTGAGACGATAAATTATAAGTGACTTGCAAATTTACAGTAACATTTTTGAAACACTTTATGATTGTGTATATGTTAAATACTGTAACCATCATAATGGCATGCATAGTTCGTTTTCATTTCATTTTCAAGAACAACAAAAACTATTATTTAAGGCTTTTAAAGATGTGCAGCAACCCAAACTGATACAAATTATGTGGTTTAAAGGGTATTTAAAGAAAAAAATTATTGGGACCCTGCATACTATCACAAAGGGTCCCTACCTCCCATAGCCTAATAGGAAACAATAGTGGGGCACCGTCCAAATGCTTATAAAAGAGCTAGGCAGACTTTTCTGATTCACATAGAATGTTATTGTATTTTAGCGTTCCATAGCAATCCTATGTGTAATACAGATCTGTGTGGTAAGAAAACACAGGAACTGCCAGTGGGGGGTTGTTTCACAGAGGGATTTTGAACAGACAAAGGAATTACAATTTTCCTGGAAATTCCCTTATTCCCTTTATATTTTGTATATCTTTATAATATAT